CGTTCTTAGTGCGTTCGAACGCGCTCCTATCGTGCTGTGCAACCCCGTCCTGGTTCGAGGGCTATAAAAACCCAGCGCATTCTTCCTAATTGATACTCGACCACATCACGTTGTAACACGTTTCTAGTAGAATCGAAGTACGGCAATTCCGTTCATACTACAGCAATCCCGCTCGTAGTATGCCCATCTCGTTTCAAGTACGTTGTCAGTCTCCGTCTAATTGTTGGACGGGGAAGATTTTGAACAGGCCCAAAGTTCTAGAGTACCCTTCCCGTACAAGCAAGTCGGATTCCGTCCATGAAGTTCTCTAACGATCGTAAATAGTTGCTTATACGTTCACTCCGTTCACACACAGTTTGAGCCCGTTTGGCAACATTTTCCAGAACGTGGTGAGAACTAGTTTGGTTCGATGGGGGCTCCACTTGAATCTCTTGATCGGCAAAGCTTGAAGCGTTGAAGTTGAGCGGTAATGAGGAATGACGTGATGGGGGCTTAAAACATTCTGCCCGGACCACAACCCGTTTTACGATTTTCTAGGACGGTTTCAGATTCAAAATTTATAAATAAAACTAAATTATCTTTAAGTTCGAGGTTGAACACAATTCACCATAAACTAAGCGATACTTAAACCTATTACTCTTTATTGAACGGCATTTTAATGGCGGCATTTTCCCTTCTTTTAAAAGTTCCACCAAAGGGGTTGATCGTGGTGGAAAAGGCCGACGATTCCATTCTACAGAATCAAGGATCACTCATGGTTGCAGAAGGGGAAAACAAGACATTAGTCTGCAAAACCAATACATCGGTGAAACCAGCCGTCAATTTGGAGTGGGTGATTCCAAACGGGTTAAATGCTTCAGTTGAATCTCAAAAATATGTTAATGATGAACATGATAAACTTCTTCTTGTGCCTACACGGACAATACACTTTACACCAACATATGCAGATAGCGAATATATTGTGCTTATCTGCAAGGTGGCTAGCAACTCATCTTATCATCATATTCATACATCAGTTCTTATTACAAATGAAGGTGAGCATTCAAGTTATTTTTTCCAGGAAACAGTAAATGCCGGTTAGTACCCGTTTATCAGTCTAAACATGTGTCACTAACGAAATGAATAATGACCCAGTTTGTTTTTTCACTTTTAGAAAGTGATTCGTGAAATGTAATCATGTTCAAAAATAGAATTAGACACATTGGAGTGTTAAGCCACGATTTTTTCTGATTCCTTCAAGTGAAGGCGATGTAAAGATTGAGAGTTACCCAATCAGTATAGAACCTTTCTTCTATTCAGATCCCTCTAATTTTATGTGGCAGTTTCTCATTATTTAGTGCAAATCATTTTACACATTCATCCCTTTAATATGTATTCGTTAACGTTAGGAGCAGCAAACCAGACCCCGGGAGGTGGGGGGGGGGGGGGGGACACTTTCCCAAGGATTTCCAAGAATGCCAACATTAATAGCAACAAAACAAGTCATCACCATCAAGTGCCCTCTATTTTTGTTTATCTGCTATTCTTACTAGCATTGCTGAAATTAATTTTAGTTCAGGCTTTCCAAATATGTAAGCGGGGCTTTCTCTTTTTATTTCTAGAGTAGATTTTCATTTCTGTACATGTGACCAACACATTGTATATTTGCCTTTTTCTCATTGTACTGATGAGTGATGTTTCACTCTTGCTTTTATACACACTTCTGTAAATGTGAAAAAAATAGCATGCATAAACTGCAAAGGGGTATGCAAAGGGCTATACAACACTTTGTTATTAAAGGTATATTATATGCAAAGTCTCATGATTCATTGCAACTTCCTGGCGTAGTATACTTTAGCCTGAAGGCTTTGTATTATATATGTAAACCCAAAGTACTACATTAAAAAAAAAAAAAAAAATCTAATTAGGGCCTTTACTTACCACTGCTTAAGAAATATACATTTTTTTTGATGATTCAAGCCCGCTGGTGGACCCGACTACAACAGTGAAAAAATGAAAGGGATCCGCCAAATTTCGAAAATTCCCCGAAAGAAGAAAACTAACAGAAGCAAAGTTTTCTCATTCGGTGGTTAAACAAAAAGAAGAAGTATGCATTTGAATCATGTCGCTACAACCATTAATAAATGCAAAATTTTCTTACGTCACCTCTATCAGCAATATGTACAGAGACGAACAATATACGGGTTAAACATATGACTTTTAGCTGCAAAAGTCTAAAGTGTTTGGCAGGATGTAAATTTTTCCCTGAAATATCACTTTGTACTTTTCTGCTATACTTTTTCTTTTGTTTTTATATTTGTTAGTTTCAACGATAATCTGGAATTGAATTTCTAGTGTTTCGATTATTCTTTATTACGAGTACATTTATAATGATTCTAGACTGTATATTTGCTTCTCATGTTGTATTTGATCATTGATTATTTGTATACTTATAATCAATCTGTATTTATTTCTCGTTTTCTCAAAGTAAATTCATACTTTCCATGATTTCAATGATACATTTTTACTTTATTTTGATTCATTTTGTATGTACTTATTTATTGAAAATAATCAACAAATTTTGATTTTTTTTGGCAATGGTAATTGTAATCTTATTGTAGAAGGAAGGTGAACGTGTTCCCTAATAGACACTATATTTATCAACCCCCATTACTCCCGCCCCTTACTCCCCATCACGTCAATATCTCGTTCCCTCTGTACAGGGTTATTGATCTTTGGAAAAAGTTCATGGGCTCCTCCCTTTAAGTTTGTATGGGTATACAAAACTCTTGAATACAAATTCCAATATAACAAATTGATCTTTGTAAAACAATTGATTTACGATTAATGGCGTAAACAATAACAAAAGTACATAAGTTGTTCATCTGCAGACTTTTCGTGGTAGCTAGCGTTTCTGTAAATGGGAAAATAATTCCAAATAGTAAAACGACGTGTTTTTTGTTGCTCAAAATGTGTAGGAGAACGCACTACCAACAGCAAAACTCTGGAGACAGGCTCTAAGGAAAGTCATACAATAACAGCAAGTAATGGAGATTTACAAGGTTATTAGTTTCTTAGTATTTTCGTAATAGAGTCCACATACCGTCATCACATTCGAAGTTGAAACGCATTATGGGTGCAAAAAGATTTTGCGATATTGGTAATAATTCTTCAATATCACATGACTTTACATGGAAATGTTGCTATTCAAATTCGAAAAAATCTCGAGCTTTTCTTATGGATGTTTCTACTTGTAACGTGTTATTAGGTGATACGTATCACTTAATGATTTCGTCAAGATTTTTCTTTCTTTCTTTATTCTTCCTCAAATTTGTTCGCACGATATCTCAAGACTGGTCAAAACCGTCGTCAAAAAACTTGCCATAATGATGATCCTAGTCTAACTTAGAAGTGCGTGACTTTTCAGCGACTGAAAGTCATCGTGACGTCATCCAGGCGCCATTTTGTGCAAATCATTTCATGATCATATCTTCATAACGAAAAGTCATTTCTCATTCATATTTATAACGATTAAAATCAATATCCGTGCAGTCAATTTCAGATTAAAAAAAAACACGCGTACGCGCACTGGCGCGCGCGAAAATTGTTATTGCTCCAAATCATCTCAATTTCATTTTGCATACGTTTCATGCAATTATGAGCATTTTATAAAATATCGCGCGCACGCGAGTGCGCTTGTTTTCGTTATTCATGGCTGTGCGCAACAAAGTTTCGCCATTTGTTTTTCTTTCATGATATTTTCAATAATTTTCCGAATAATTTGATACCATGTTTATCTCTTTATGACTATTAATAACGGAATTAGCGTCCAATCAAGATAAAAGTCCGTGCGTGCGAGCTCTTGTAATACATAGCATATATGAGCAAAAACATGCCTATACAAAATCCATTATAGCTCTCTAGGATGTCTGGAGACTTCCCATTTGTTTTCATATTTGGATAGACAATGAATCGGAATATGATTTCATGTCTCATTTGGTCATTAAGTCATCTTGACGTCATCATAATGGCCTTGGAAGTCAAGATATAAAATTTCATATTATGACGTAATTATATTTATGGAAAAGCATTGGTCTACATCAATAACCCACTTCTTTTCATGGCCCAAAATAAACTGATTTAATCTTTGCGCAGCTCAACAAAGGTAGAACATGACGGGTAGAACATTTCCTGAAATAAGATGAAATTGGGAAAAAGCAGTTTTTATTTTGTCAATCAAAATCAAAGGTGTTATTGGTTATTGTACAGGGCCAATGGTCATGTTTTCTCAATCTATCTTTTATAGATCCATAATGGTCAGGGCTACACAGTTAAAACCTGACATATGGATAAACCATAATGTAAGGAGCATTTTATTTTGTGATGTGAAAATGCATTCTTCATTATGTAAAACATTAGCATACGTATCGCCTAAATCGTCAAAGTGACGAATTCAAGTCTAGCTACAATTGTTAAAATTATTATCAGTGTTGGTGGTAGTAGTAGTATTAGTAGTATCATCAGTAGTAGAGAGTAGTAATGGTAGTACTGGCATCAATATTAGTGATGGAAATAGTAGAAGTAGTAGTAGTAGTAGTAGTAGTAGTGGTAGTAGTAGTAGTATTAGCAGTATTAGTAGTAATACTATTAGTAATAGTAGAAAAAGTAGTAACAGTATTAGTAATAGTTGTAGTAATAGAATCATCCCTCCTTTCTTTATTATTATTCTTATTTTATTATGATCATCAGCATCATTATTGTTACTATTTTCCTGTGAATTTAATATAATATTAATGTGTAGCCATAAGGCATTATTATGGTGAAATAATACTAATACTATAGTAATACCCATGATAATGAAAACGATGTTAACAGTGACGATAATGAGAAGCATGATACAGATCACTCATCAATGATGAAGTAGCTATTGCTTCATGGCCATCGTTTTCCCCACATCTTTTGAATAAATTTTGCAGTACATAATTCTTGATATTTCTTTTTCGATAAGTATCCTTAACAAAATGTTACACAGGCTTCCTATGCCTGCGCCGGTTCAATTAATTAAGATTAGTAAACACGGAGATCCATTAAAATACAAAAGTCTGAAACATATATTTTGTGCCAATGATAATCCCAAAGAGGTATTTATTAATATTCAGTGTCAAAGGTACACCGATAATAAATTCCCAGTGTGACAACTGGCATTTCGATTTGAAACAAACAATTCTTACAAAAACAGCTACATGCAAAACTTTACAATGTGGTGTACAGGTATACAATAAATGATAGAAAAGGAGCAAAGTAAACTACACTGTACATTAGAAAGAACATATTAGGGAATAGAAGAAAAGAATAGATGTTCATATGAAGTACAAATGATAAAACACAAGTCGTTCGTCAGGAAGCACTAAATACATCGATCAGGCGGAGACCGTTGCCTGAACAACGACAGTAGTCCCAACTCTTGTCCCGAGGGAAATGGAAGTGGAACCATGGTGGAACCATGGTGAAACTGTTAAGAAACAAAATCAAGGCAGGTCTTAAAAAGCTGCGACATAGTAACTTCTGGGGGAAGTTACATCACACGTCTATCTGCCTTGAAGTCTAAACTTGCTCTCCTACTTAATCAATAATAATTCTTCTTTATATATGGAACACAGTAATTCAACAAGAGTATTTATCGTCTTACAAGTAGTTATTGGGCTATCACTAAACTATCTAATCAAAAGTATTTTACAATGACTGAAATATCTATAAATAGGTCTGGCTTGTGGAAGTTGGTATCTTAATTCATACACAGTCACAACCATCTTGTATCAAAAGTTAAGGGACAAACACATGAAAATATAACAATGGGTTTTCCAACGTAAGGAGAATCACACTAAACAGTATCGTACAATTCATTCAAATTGCATGAGGATCTTATGATTTCTCTATAATTTACTAGAATAAAACATGAATGTACTTTTAGGAAGGTGAGTGTTCGCTTACCTGTTAAGAAACAAAATCAAGGCAGGTCTTAAAAAGCTGCGACATAGTAACTTCTGGGGGAAGTTACATCACACGTCTATCTGCCTTGAAGTCTAAACTTGCTCTCAACGAGAAAGCCAATCTTTCTTCCAAACCAGGCAAACAACCCCACTATTCCCTATCCCCAAGACAAAGGGGTACCAGTAAGTGTATCCACTGGTCATTCATGATTTATGTACTCTACGAATAAAGGAAGTGGTCTGTGTTTAAGACATAAACAAGGCCTATAGAATAGAGGTCTCTTTGTTCCCATCTCTTTGTTTCACCAGTAGCATATACCAGAGAGGTGATCTTAATAGAAACATAGTTTAAAGGTTCACTTTAAATAGGGGTTCAACAATTTAAAGTAATATAAGCTTACTCAAAAATAGAATATAGGTTTACTCAAAAAATAGAATATACCTTGATAATAAACAGGGTCTGACAAAAATATAAATACTACAGACGCAATGGTGGTATATAAGGTACAGACTGAAGATTCACTTGTTTACAATTTCATTGTAAGTAAACAGGGCAAATAAATGATTAATTAAATGAATGATAATAAGTCATAAACTAAATGTAACATTACAAGCGAAATGACAGTTTGTAAGGTACAGACTAAACAAATAAATGAATACAGAATAAATAAGCAATTTGATCAATTAACTAAACAAAATTAACATGTGCTCATTGAAATAAATTCCACAGGAAGGAAAACATCCTACACAACAAATTTCGACTTTTCAAATCCAGGTATATAATTTACGTCTTATATTATGCGTAAATGTTTCGACTTAATTTGAAGTTAAAAGTGATAGAATAAAGATAAAGGGTAAGGTTTTGCGTTGGCATGTGTATGTAAGTTTATGTCAACATGAACAAAAGTTGTTTATTTTAATAATTAATTCGTTTTATTAATTAATTAACTAGATATATTAATAACTGCATTCCGTTTTTTTCTCAAGTAGGGTTAAACATTAGAAGATGATTTCGACTAACCCAGTTTACAGTTAAAAAGCCACATACAAAAAAAAACAAAAACAATCGTCCCATATAGATATGAAATATCTATGTGTCCTCAATTTTGTATTTTGTATTTTTTTTCTTTTAATGATCGGAGTTCTAGGTTTGTGAATATTTCGTTTTGTCATTTTATAGCACATGATTCTACTTTTGTTCATGACTATGACAACACAACTGCACACGTGTTATGAAACAGGAACACAAATAAAATGAAATTAAACCACTGATTTAGTATGTATGCACATGATAACAATATAATAGTATAGCCTATTAGCTTTATTGCAATGACGAACCTTCGTCATTGCCTTGTTTTCGTTCACATTCTGCCCAATTAATATTCTCCTTTTCCTTATCCTTATCGTCCGGAAATCGCATTCGTTTTGCAGGTAGTGCTTGTGATTCCTAGTAAGGTGCTTTCCTCATGTCCTTTTCCTTTCAAATTTCGTAGGCATCGTCTCTAACATCTCATCAAGGTCACTACATTCTTCGATTTTCAAAATCACTCATGCATAATCGTCCAGGCGCCATTATGTCCGTTTCTGGTCGATTTTAAGGCCTTATTTTATTCCTTTCTATCTCCACTATCCTAGATCATACAAACTTCTAACAAATTCCTCTAGATAGTCTAAGAGATGTTCTTTCATCTGCGACGCATAACCCGACCTTCAAAATGCCATCTTCGTACCCAAAATTTAAATCTGAAACCGACTCCGTCAACAATCTCTCAAATTCTTGAAAAATGGACCCCTAAAAATCTAAAAATTGCAATAACTTTCTTTAACCAATTCCGTTCCATCTCATCTTCTCGCAGTATCTGTATTTTATAATTGCACATAGCCATGCCAAATTTTACGCTCCAATGGCTATGCAAAACATAAATAGCGCCCTCTAAAGTTCTGGGAATTGGCTTTCTTTCTTTGGCCGTATCTCCATTATGGCTTGGCAGACCCGTACCCTTTTTGGATTTAGATACTTGAAGATATGCCCTTTCCAGCCATATACAAAATTATATACCCTATCACTGACCAAATTTGAGAAAATTGCCCTCCAAATTCGCCGTTTTCAAGAAAATTCCGAAATAACTTCAACTTGCTCTAAAATGGCGATCTTTATACCTACATCAATAAAACTTGGCAGACATATGTATCCATATACGTGACAACTGTTATCAAGTTTGGTAAAATTCGAATATGTCAGCGCAAAGTTATCGCCAAAAATGATGAATTTACTATGGATTACGTAATAGCGCGTTCAATGCGCGCAATACATTGCGCGCAGTTAACAATGGTGTCAAACTGACCGCAATGAAGTGCCCTTTCGTATGGTACCAAGTATAATATATGTTCACACAGAAAATTGTGAGTAAATCGCAATTGAACAAATATCACTACACGGATTCCGCCGAGTTTCCGCCCGAACCTAACACGTTTCGGCTATGACGTCATTTTTTCAGACTGCTTTTCGCCCCTTAAACGTCCTTTTTTTTCCTTGAAAATTGGCAGTGACATGCCGAGTTCCAATGCGCAGGGCACCTCTTGGCCGGATTTTTGAAATTGGTCAAGGGGGCCATTTAAGACGCCATTTTGTCCTATAAATCTATTTTACATCACGTGTTTCGATAGGATTATCATAGAAAAAAAGAGAGTGGTTTACAATAACAACCATGAAATTCTCTTTCTAATGATACCAAATACGGCCCATAAAGAGACGTAAAGACAGAGAGAAAAAACAATTTAACTCCGGTCATAATACAGATCCTGCACGTTTTCCGCCCATTCATTACACGCATTGTCTATGGGGCATATCGGGTTCACGCTTTTGGCCCCCAGAACGAACTTGATTGATTGCAATGTCAAACATGCACCAAATCCCATTGGTTTGTGCACGCAGTGCTTGCGAGCCCTTTCTAGGTTCTTTCCCCTATCCCAATTTCTTTCAAACTTCGTAGGCATAGTACCATCCCATCAAGGTCACTGTTGATGCCTTTCTTTCGCCCTACCTATCTCCAATATCACAGAAGCTACAGACTTCGTGCAAATTGCTCTGGATAGTCCGAGAGAAGCTCTTTCGTTTGACACGAAGAAACACGGCGTCATTGCACGCACATCGTTCTGACACGATTGCATTTCTAGTTATTTTCTTATCTCAACCTTGCTGGGATTAGCCCTTGATATGATTTTTGCCATTGCTAGTCACTTCACATTACAGTAAATTGTCATGTTACGTCTTGTCCTTAACTGCATGTTTGTATTTATAATGTCATTTTTCGATTTATTTTCTATTCATATTTTAATGTTTTTTATTAGTTTGGCGGAAGCAAATGAATTGAATTAATTTGAATTGAATTCTCATGATTTTTTTTTTGATGCTATGATATTCCCTACCCAGATTTCACTTATGATTTATGTTTAAAAATAAACTTGAGTTCTGGTAAAAAAAGAAATTGAATTCTCACAAAATCAAACCAAACTTACACTTACGATTACAAATAAATGTCATTTGCCAAACAATTTTGGTAGAAAATGTATACTAGCTGGGTAATGAGCGTAGAAAGATCACAAAATCAAGGTAAGTAGACCCGACACCATTTGTGTAGTCCCATATACATCTTTCTGTGTACAGTGCTTATTACTTTACCAAGACTGGGCCAAATTTATTACAATTTTGATGACTCTCGAACCTTACAGTACACACCAATACTTACATGCTACATGATCAACTTTTTTTGATCCATTCCACACCTTTTCTTTCACAATGCAATCGCATAACCAGAACTCAACTTTATCTGTAATAGAAAGAAAAATCCGTTGGACTTTAAAGCATGAAACGGGAAGGATTTTTCATTGCGATTTATATGTCTTACAAAACATAGATTTGAGTTTTGTAGAAATGCATCAAATGTGATATACAAAAACTGGCTTCAGTGTAATAGTATCAAATACATATAGTTGATACAGTGAAGCATTCATGCTTGTTTTATGCGTTTGTCTCTGCATTTTTCCTGTAATATACAATTCGTATGGACATTTATAGTTTCTTTCATAAATTAGCTCCCTGTTTTGGTCTTACTTTATTCGTTTACTTAGAAGTGAAAGTCAATTAGAAATAAGAGAATAACAAGTACGCACAAACGTTTCATTAACACAAAATCAACAGGAGAATAAAAAATGTCACCAATTAATAATTAAATATTCTAAGACTGTTGAATCTATTTATTTTTATATTTCATTTGCTTTAAAGATTCTAAGAAGGAACCATGGTACAAACAAATTCGTTTGGTTATACCTGGATGTTCCGGCGTGGTGCTGCTGTTAATTGTACTGGCATTTGTTGGTGGTTTTATCCGCTCTAAGAAGAGAGATGGTAAGTTATTTTAACGCTGTAAGAAAGAGGTACTCGTGTGCATAGTTTGTTTGTGTAGAGAGAGGAGCTGTCACAGTTGTATTCTAACGAGAATGTGAATGAATTTTAATATGACACAAGGTAAAAATGTGGAATAAAGGATTGAGTTCATTTTTTAACGAATATAACTGTAATAATGATTAATACTAAGTATTCCTTTGGATGGCACTGACCTACAAATGAAGCAACCCTGTATGTTTTTCGTCGTAACAAAAACTGTGAATCCTGGGACCAATAGAAAGAAAACCTGTTGTAAAAATCAAATGAACTTAAAGGAAAATCCAACCCTTGTAAAAAGTTGATTTGTATGAAAGCAGAAAAAGAACAGAAAGGGTTGGCAACATTTTAAAATGTATAGGACCTATAGTAAGGAAGTTGATATAAACGTTTTAAATATGAGATCACTAAGTCTAAGCGAATCTCGAATTGGTAGTTTGGTCAGTGGATTGTACACAAATATCATTAATTTATGTCTTTCTCGTAAGTTTCTTCTCACCTGGGGCACTACTCACAATACATTATAGATAGGGTCAGCGGTTCGAGTTCTGTCGCGGCACTATTGTTCTTAGGCAAGACATTAATCTACACTTTCCACTCTCCACCCAGGTGTTAAATGGGTACCGTTAGGAAGGAATTCCTTTAATGCTGTGAGCGTCGAGATCGGCAGCCTAACATAGCCGGGTAATGTTGGAGCTCCTTGAGGACGTTGCAAGGTCGATACGTGCGCTATATAAGAATCCAATATTATTATTATTATTATAGCATATTATTATAGGTCCTCTAAAAAGAATAGACCCTCATGAGCCATGATTTTTAGACAAATTTAAATGTTAGTCATTTTATATGATGAAACGTAGTAGTCCGGCACTACATCACATTGACATTACCGCTTTAGTCAATATGAAGTGCCCATACGTATGTCATTACAACTTTTAAAAAATAATAACTTTCTCATTTTTAGTCACATTTAATTGACACTTTCATCAGTTTGCTTTTCTGATTTTTCTGCTTTCTTCTGGAC